TCAGCACCGCCTCTGCTCCTCATCCACCCTTCACTGCGTCAGCACCGTCTGATTCCAACACAGACGTGAACTCGACTAGGGACATGTGCTATCAGGATTATCTTGACGGTCTCTGTAAACTGATAGGAGAGCATCCCGGATTGTCCCCATCCTCCAGGATGTAAAGCGTCATGACGGTGTTTGCTAACGTGAGCGCGAGACAAACGACGGTTCCCGTTTAAAACAACGCTGGCAGCCGACAGGTCCCTCCTGTCCCTCCTGTCCCTCCTGTCCCTCCTGTGGCAGACACACGTCCACCCGACACAGACAGTTTGATAAAGGTTTGTGTGCCGGCCTGTCCACTCACCTGCCTCCTGCCCGTCACTGATGCTGCCGAGCCTCGTCACCGCTGAAGATCAAACCGGATGTACGTGTACAAAATAAAAGTTTTAGTCATTTGATTATTTATTTATTTTATTTTGGATCATCCCGATTATCGGTCGACACCTGCAATCACAGGCTCACCTTTAACCTTTGCTCCACCACGCCCCCTCTAAACAAAGGTTTTACACACGTTTACCTTCACAAAAATGCTCTTTATACAATAAATCTAAAGCCCAAGTTTTTAATCATTCTATTAAAAGAGCATTGTGTTATTGTAGAATATATTACGGTTTCTAAAATGCAAAAATAATACTGCTCGCTCGACGAATACGTCGGTTATTTTATTTTGAAACCGCTACCGGAAGTGCATTTTTACACCACAGCCGGTGACGTGCGTGATGCGTGGATGAAGTCGTGACATTCACTGAAGATTCTTTAGAAAATATAAAGTGAAAAATGATTTGACCGAATTAGTTTTTAAAGTCACAAGAAAACTGATTGGATTCTGAAAATTAATTCTTCTTCTTCTTCTTCTTAAAAAAGTGAAGTCGGTGGAAAGGTTAAAAAATAAATAAATAAAAGTAGAAACTTTTTTAGATTGCCACAGCGTATCATCCTCCTCCATCTCACTCTGTCCTCTGCATCCTCTCTCCATCTAGTCCAAGTCCTCTCTAACTGCATCCATTTATCTACAGCACCCTGCAGATGTTGGATGCTGCAGATGTTGGATGCTGCAGATGTTGGACGCTGCCTATCACGGTGCACTAAGATTCATAACTGACTGTAACTACCCTACTCATCATTGCACTCTGTATCCACTGGTTAACTGGTCATCATTAACTTCACTCACCCACTGGTACATTTTCATCTTTAAATCCCTTCTTGGTCTGCTGACTTCATACATCTCTTCCTACATGTCACTTCGTCATTGCAGCTACAGCGTGCGCTCTCAAGGCATAACCACCTGCAGTGTTCCCTCACTGCGAACTGAATTTGGCAAAAGGGCCTTCTTCTCCGCTCCTGTTTCCTGGAACACTTTGCAAAAAGATGTGAAGTTGTCGACTTTGATCTCTCTAAGGGATTTTAAAAAATCATTAAGTTCAATGCAAAAATCAATGTAGGCATGTTCCTGGTTTTAGTATTTTACACCGCTTCATAATGTAGCTGTTTTTGTTTTGTTTTACGATATCTTTTTTTATTTACTTATCATTTTATATGCTTTTATATGATTGTTTATTGTTGTCTGTACCTCATCTGTGGTCTTTGTTTAAAACAGGTGTCTCTTGAAAATGAGTCCTAGTGACTCAAAGAGACTAACCTGTAGAAATAAAGGTTGAATGAAAATTAAATCTCCTCTTTGGCCTTCCTTGATGTCTTTGTCCGGGCAGCTTTATTTATTCATTATTTATACAAATGATCACCTCTCTCTAACTCTAGCTTCCACAATTCTCTCCCAGATCTTCATTGTTTATTCAGATTTATTCACTGGCAGCTTTCATCCAGAGGGGGGACAGTGGGTACATTGGTAGATCCTTCTACTAGTATACCCACTGTCCCTCCTTTGGACATGTCCAAACCACTGTCCCTCCTCTCTGGACATGTCCAAACCATCTCAGTCTGATCTCTCTAACTTTATCTCCCAGTTGTTCAACCTGTGCTGTACCTCTGATGATCTCATTCCTAATCTTCTCCATCCTTGTCACTCCTAAGGAGAACCTCAACATCTTCATTTCTGACATTTCCTGTTCTGTCTCCTGTCTTTTTGTCCATGTCTCTGTCTCCAGACCATACAACATAGCTGGTCTCACCACTGTCTTGTAAACTTTTCCTTTGATCTTTGCTGACACCTTTTTTGTCACAAATCACTCCTGAAACTTTTCTCCATCACTCCATCCTGCCTGGACTCTCTTCTTCACCTCTTTACCACACTCCCCATTTCCTGGACAGTGGACCCCAAGTACTTGAAGTCCTGCACCTTTGTGACCTCTGCTCCTTGTAGCCTCACTGTTCCACCTCCTCCCTCTCATTCACACACATGGACTCTGTCTTACTACAGCTGACTTTCATTCCTCTTCTTTCAAGTGCATACCTCCACCTCTTCCACCTGTTCCCAGTTCTCACCACAGATCATAATGTCATCTGCAAACATCATCGCCCATGGGGATTCTTACCTGACCTCATCTGTTAGTCGGGCCATCACCAAAGCAAACAAGCAGGGGCTCAGAGCTGATCCTTGATGCACTCCCACCTCCACCTTGAAGCTATCTGTCACTCCTACAGCACATCTCACCACTGTCCTGCTGTCCTCATACATGTCCTGTACCAGTCTAACATACTTCTCTGCCACTCCAGATTTCTTCATGCAACACCACACCTCCTCTCTCGGCACTGAAGTTTTCTGACTCTCTCTGTACTTCTCCATCAGCATCCTTAAAACAAAGATGGCATCTGAGGTGCTCTTTCTTGGCATGAAACCATACTGCTGCTCACAGATAGTCACCTCCCATTAAGTCTAACTTCCACAACTCTCTCCCAGATCTTCATTGTGTGGCTCATCAACTTAATTCCCCTGTAGTTGCTACAACTCTGTACATCACCCTTGTTCTTAAAAATGGGCACCAGCACACTTCTTCTCCATTCCTCAGGCATTTTCTCCCCCTCAAATATATCATTGAATATTTGAGTCAAAAACCTCACTGCCATCTCTCCAAGACATTTCCAAACCTCCACTGGTCATCAGGTCCTACTGCCTTCCCCTTCTTCATTCTTTTCAGAGCTTTCTGGACTTCACCCTCACTAATGTTTCCCACTTCCTGGTCCACAGTTTCTATGACCTCTACTCTTCTTTCTCTTTCATTCTCTTCATTCATTAGCTCCTCAAAGTATTTCTTTCATTTTTCCATCACACTCTCCTCACTTGTTAGAACATTACCATTCCTATCTTCAACAAGCCTAACCTGTTGCACATCCTTTCCAACCTGATCCCTCTGTCTTGCCAATCGATATACAAGACCTTTTTGCCCTCTTTAGTGTCCAGCCTCCCATACAACTCATCATACACCTTCTGCTTTCTATTTGATACCTCCCGCTTTGCTCTTCGTCCCATCTCCGTATATTCCTGTCTCCTCTCTTCAGTCCTTTCACTCTCATATTTCTTCTTGGCTAACCCAACTTACCCATCACTTCCTCATCCCCTCTGTTTCCTTCACCAACATGTCCATTTTACTGTTGTTGTTGTCTGTACTTTATATGTTCTTTCTAGAACAGGTTCCTCGTGTAAATGAGTCCTTGTGGCTCAATGAGACAAAATAAAGTTTGAATGAATGAAAAACATTTACGTCTGCTCTGATCACCACTCTCTCCTCTCTGAGAATTCTCTCTATACACAAAATAAATGAGAGCCAGACAAGTTTGAATATTTAGGCTCTTGATTTCCATATACTATACGTAAAATATTTAATATTTCTTATAACCAGTCCTTGACCTTACTGTATGTAGCATACACAAGCACTGTGAAAATCTGAAAACACAGAACACCAAATGGAAAGTTGCAAGAAAATAATTGTGATTTTTTTACTTACATGAAAGTTTGCATAATTTTCCATGTTTTTTATTTATTACAATCTCTATTCCAAATCTGTCGAAAGTGATATTGTTTTATTTAGTTTGAATGCTTCTGATCCATTGAGCAAAGTAACTGGTAATTGTATTTCCTTATTGAGGGTTTTGATAAATGTTCTAACCCAAAGTCTCTTTGCTACAAACAGCACAGTACTAGCTGTGAAGTGAGTGAAGAGACAGAGGCAATGTGTGAACAAAGTATTTCATCAGAGAGAACACAAATATCTGTTTGTTTCAAGTGGTGCATTTGAAGCCTGAAATAAATAAGCTCTAATCTGAGCTGAACCCTGGAGGAAGGTGTCAAACCATCAGATTTAATATGGTGCATGTGATCTTCAAGATGCACACGTGTGCAGAAAACCTTCAGACTGCAATCATTTTAAAATTAGCTAGTTATTCCAGTTGCAATAATATATTACCATGGCTGCAGCAAAATTTTATGTAAAAAGCTCTGAAATATTAAAATAAATGCAATATAAAATCGATAGTGATAAGTTATTAAAACAACATTTCTGTGCAAAGTTGTGAAATCTTTGAGATTGGAGTAATGTCAAATGGAAAGTGTGAGATTTGTGAAGTGATGTTTTGTCAATAACCTGTACCCATGTAGTGTTTTAGCACATTTTGTGAAAGACTTGTTTCATAAGTCTGAAAATCAATAAAAAGTAGGCCCTACTTTGGGCTAGTCATTTGCATAGCCAGCGCAGACTTACGTTTTTTTTTCTCCATTCTCTGTGCTTTCTGACTGATCTCGTGCCTGATATTTACTGCATTTAACTATTAGACACAGCATCACTTCAAAAAATGACCTGGCTCTTTTTAGGATGGCAGCAATTCTGTTTAGGCAACGCTTGGACTAGCTGTTAGCCCCATCACTCCTCTCTATTTGTCCAAACTAAGAACATTCAAAGTGCTATCTACAACCGGGGATAAGAAATGAAGGAACTAAGGAAGCCAATCACTTTCAATCAATTTATTTTCTTTGGTCAGAGTTATCCAGAAAACTCAAATTTATCTTTTGGCCAGCCACGTTTCATGTCAGCGGTTTAGACCAAGATCATCTTCTGCTGAAAGATAACGGAGTTGTATTCATTTTTTTAATCACGCTCAGAGTATTTGTTGTGAATGACTCTCAGCTACCACCACATAAATATATTAGCTCAATATCTGTCAAACTGACTGAGTTATAAGCACACACGTGTTGGCTAATGTTGATTATCTGTTTTGACTTAGACTGACGCCACAAGTAAATCACATGTAGAGAAATATTCACAGATTACTTTAGAAAGTTGAGATAAAATCTGTCCATTGTTTCATGAAATATTTGGCAAACTGACAGTGTTGACTTCAAAACATTTATTGCAAAAGTTTTATGGAAAAAATAAAACATGGAATGAGTAGGTCTTGAAGTATGTCTTGTGAACGAGCAGAATATTTGTAAAAGTGACTAAATGATGGTGATTTTTGAGTTGTGGTCATTTTAAATAAAGTTCTTGCACATTCTGCTCAGAATATGTGCTGGGGTCAGTCTGCACTTCTTCCACACCAGATAGTTTAGAGATACATCCAGTTGGTACTTTCATGGTGCATGACAGTGGGAGGCAGTGAGAAACAGTCTTTACCGGCAGCAGCACCATTTTCCATTTGAACTGTTTGTTTTCCTCTGTTTGTTGCCCTGGTGGCTCTGATCGAGCCTCACTGCACCGGAGGAAGAGAGAGGAACAGATGAAGCCCAGCATTCCTCCACGGTTCTGCCTCAGCTTGTATACAAGTTAACTGTTCCAGCCATGTCCACACTGTGATCTGTGATTCTCCTCGGGGGTGGGGGGGGGGGGGGGGGGGGTCAGTGAATCATAGGGTAGAGCTGAAGAGTGGAGTTCGAGCAGGAGGAGAAAAGGGAGGAGTTTGAGGAGAGAGGGCGTGCAGTGGAAAAAGGGACTGAAGAGAAAATACCCTGTAGGCTGTGACTTCACACTGGGGTTTTCTGCCTGCTCTGGCATTCAAACACATAGGTGGTGGTCTCTATCACTGCTGGTTTCCCCTTACAAACTGGTCTGCCTCCAGGAACTACAGACAGGGAAGAAGAACAGTGGCTGCATGCCATAAAGAAACATATGAGTTGGTACAGATAGGAAGGGTAAAGAGCAGAAATCAAGAGAAGAAGAAGACGACGAAGAAGAAAATAATCTAGAAGTTAAAAAAGTTGTTCCAAATCAATCAGAATGGCAGCCGTGGAAGAACTGGATCCCTCAAGTGCCCAGCTGGGACTTCAAGCTCTGACTGAAATCTCAGATGACGAGGTCAACCTCCCACCCTCAGATGATGAAGACAATGTCCTTGCTGCAGCTAAGAAAGACCAATCCTCTGAGGGGGACACCAATGAGGACAAGGACGAAGCAGGGAAGCTGGACCCGCTGGCAAATGGGGCCACGATTTTGTCTTTGCTTGACAAGATCATTGGGGCGGTGGACCAGATCCAGCAAACCCAAAGCGGGCTCGAGACCAGGCAGCAGGAGATGGAGCGTTCAGTGACCAGCATCCAAGGCGAGCTGACCAAACTAACCAAGAGCCACAGCACCACGTCCAACAGTGTCAACAAAATGATGGAGAAGGTGCGCAAGGTGAGCGTCAACGTCAAGACTGTCCAGGCCACGCTGGAAAAGCAAGGGGGCCAGATCAAGAAACTGGAGAGCAACGAGGCGGAGCTGCTCAAGAGACGCAACTTTAAAGTCATGGTCTACCAGGTCAGAGTGTTTCTATGAGCACATGCATCCTTCTGTGTCTTACTGAGTTACATTTGTCTGATGTTTGAGGCCATGTTAAGAGCATCACGTCTGATGAAGATGGGTGTGGCACTTAACCAATGGATCCAGTTTACAGTGTGTGCTTTAGTTATTGGGTCACATGTTAAATTAGTAAAATATAATTAAAATGATCTAACTTTGCCAAGATAGAAATGATTTTGGGTCAAGGTTCATATTATCTTGAATATTCTCATGACGTACAAAGTAAAGAAAAAAGTTTTCATATTTTCACCACTTTTACCTTCTACTCTAACACGTAGTACCTTTAATACCCCATTTATTTTTTGTTTTGTGTTTGTTTCATGTGGGCACAAACTGTTTGAATGAATTCCTGACACTCGTTCATAAAAATACATTTACTGAATTTTGGATGTACTTAGTTTTAATTAGCTCATGGTCCGAGTCTAAAGACAGAGGAAGAAATTCAAACTTAGAGAGTGATAGAATGATCTTAAATGAAAGTGCACTTGTTGAAAAGTATTCGATGATAACATCAGATCAGATGGACAACAGTGTTGACTGTAGGGAAACACGGCTGGTCCCGTGTCAGCAGGGTGTGGCCCCCCTCAGGCCTGGACTGAAGCAGTGACTGGATGCAGATCAAAGGTTGTTGGGTCCTCTCCTGCAGCAAGTTGGACCTGACCCTCAGATCCAGGAGATCAGTGCTGAGTCCGACTTGACAGGTTGGCTGTCATTTGTGGTCATGCAGAAACAAGTTTCATCTCTGATCATGTGAAACACAGGGATGGAAGCCTGATGCATGCTCAATAACTCAAGTAGAAAAATCTAACAAGGTTGAGTCAGGTCCTCTGGACAGATTCTTCTTGTTGAAACATTTCATCTTTAATCCAAAAATCTTCTTCAGTCTCAGTCCTCTTCTTCCTCAGACTGAAGAACTCCTTTGGATAAACGACGAAACGTTTCAACAAGAAGATTGTGTCCAGAGGACCTGACTCAACCTTGTTAGACAAAGATGGGAGGTGCAGATGTGGTAGAGTTCTGTAATCCTTGGTGCACAGTACGATAATCTTTCCTTGGTATGGTTCTATGTTGGATTAATAGACTGTTCACTGTCTGTCACGTGCCTGTTGGTTCCAGCATCAGACCACTGTGACACCTGCAGGTCCTACAAACTGAGAAGTTGCACAAAATGACTACCGGGCCTCATGTAAGCCCACATTGTGACCTCTGTCAAACTCCATCAAGTGCTGCTAGTACTGTCTAATAGGTCTACATGGCATTCTCTGACAGTCAGATTCCCCAGCAACTACCTGATAACACTATTGCTCCAGTTGTGATGTCAACACTTACACGCTAAGGTGCCCGTTTGAGACATACCAGCTTGTTGCAGGTCAAAATGTTTATATCCTCATCAGCGGGCTGTATGTGGACCAAAATATGTCCAATTTCAACATGTCCTTCAGGGTGCTGAATTTATTTATTTATTTTTGTCTAATAAGATACTTAAAGACCTTTAATGTCTTTTTTTCTTCATAAAATTTCATTTTATTGGTACAAAACATAAGTTTGTCCACAGTTTAGAAACTGTAATACTTGTAATGTTCAATAATCCAGGTGGAAAAATCTAACAAAGTTGAGTCAGGTCCTCTGGACAGATTATAAAATAATAAATAAAAAAAACCTTGTTGAAATGTTTTGTCTTTAATCCAAAAGACTTATTCAGTCTGAGGAGCTGCAACAAACAGTCTTATAAATAGCACCTTCTCATGGTGGACAGTTTGCTGCTGACAACCAAAACCAGCTGATCACATGCTCAAGAAGGACCATCAGCCTAACAATGGGTCATTAGCACCTGATGGCTGTTTACTGTTCACAGAGGGCTGAGTGATACTAGCAATCACAGCATTGTAAGAGGGGGACAGTTGAACCCGGAGGCTCCACCCCTGTTTAATGATGGACGATTTCTTTTCACAAAGATGGCCTCCTTTACTCCTCTCTCAAACCATCGTTCCTCTCTGTCCAGGATGTGAACATCTTCATCCCTGAAAGAGTGACCTCTGACCTGGAGATGAGTGTAGACCTCAGAGTCCTGGCCTGATGATGATGATCTTCTGTGCTGGTCCATCCTTTTGGCCAGTGGCTGTTTAGTTTTCTTTTTTTTCAGGGTAAGCTAAATATAAAATACAACTTCTAAACAGAAAAAAACATCATGCTCCAAGTGATCGTGATTTGCTTGGAAAAAGTTTTGAAGCAGATTTTAATTCATGCCCGTGGTAGGCACATGTTGGCAGAATACTTAAACAACATTGAAAGCAGAAAAACATGGGTGTGTCTGTGATGGCTCTGCTCCTAAATGAAGCACACCAGCTCAACACACATGGAGTAAGAACCTGGACAAGCTGTACAATCCTTATTAGATTTAACTAGAATCACTGTTTTTGCGCCACCAGTTAAAAAACATTCATGTAAAGGCATGAGAGCAGAAAGGTCAGCTGAAAGAAGCTACATGTTTGTTCTGTTTTAACAAGAGAACACATGGGAAAGGGCCCTGATTCCTTTTGACTTTGTGAGTTTCCAGTGCGTACGTGTGCATGTGTGTGTGCATGTGTGTGCATGTGTGTGTGTGTGTGTGTGTGTATGTGTGTGTGTACTCTCATTTTTTTCAGCGGGACAGGAACATTCAGAGTTTCCATCGTTGACTCAGACATTATGAGTTGGATCAGCCTCACTCTTTCTGCTGCTATCCAAACGCTGGGCAGGAGTTTGTGTTCCAGCTTTAGCTTCTAACTGTAAATGTGCACAAAAATCATTCTGATATGCCCCAGAAAAGTGAGAAGTGTGCTTCATTGTCCTGGCACAGCAGGGTTTAATGTCTAATGATGTACAGATGAGCAGGGAACACTATAAACAAGAAAAGCTGATCTTATCATGGAAGGAATTTAATGACTTTCTTCATTGGGGAACATCATAAATCTACTTTTGATTAGTGGGTTTATTTATGGTTGCCAAAAAACAAAGAATTCATCATCGTTTAGCATGCGTGCGCATTCATGTACGCACAGTCGCACACTACATTGCTCTGTTTTCAATTTTCTGTGCTCCAGGGCTGTTCTTGAAGCTGAGATAGTTTTTTAAAGCAGCAGTGGATGGACTCAGCTCCCCCTGTGAGTTACAATGCTGTTTATCTGTTTAGGACCTGCAGTTAATACATGGGACTCACTTCATGAACAAATTGAACTAGAGGTTTTACAGGAACAGTAATGCAGTCAACTGCTTTAGTGACGTTTCAGTTTGGAAACAGGTTTTATGCAAACCTGTAGAAATCAAAAATATGATGATGGTTTTTCTGGAGGAGTTCAAGTATCTCTGGGTTTTGTTCACGAGTCAGGGAAGAATGGAGCGTCAGATTGACAATCAGATTGGTGCAGCGTCTGCAGTATTGCGGACTCTGTGCTGGTCCATTGTGGTGAAGAGGGAGCTGAGTTGTAAGGCGAAGCGCTCTGTTTACTGGTCAGTCTACGTTCCTGCCCTCACCTGTGGTCATGAGCGTCCGAAAGAACAAGATACAGGCAGTTCCTCTGCAGGGTAGCTGGACTCTCCCTTAGAAACAGGGTGAGAAGTCCAGTTATCAGGAGAGATTCAGAGCAGAACCGCTGCTCCTCCACATCCAGAGGAGCCAGTTGAGGTGCTTCTGGCATCTACCATGGGCACCTCCCTAGGGAGGTGCATGTCCGACTGGGAGGAGACCCCGGGGAAGACCACGGACACACAGGAGAGACTAAGTCTCTCAGTTGGCCTGGGAACACCTTGGAGTCCTCCTAGAAGAGCTGGAAGAGGCTGTGGAAAGAGATGTCTATATTATATATATTTTTTTCTTTTAACAATACATTGTGAATATAGTCACAAACTAGTTTGGTGAACAAAGCTCTAACTGCTTAATTATCCTTTGATCAATTTAGTTAAATGTAAGTTGTTGTTTTTTTTTTTAGGGAGGAACATGTAGAGAGGCAGATCAGTGGTTTCAGTGGTTGGAACTGCCTCCTTCACAGTTACAGCTTTCCTAACTCTCTGTTTTCCCTCTGGCGTTGGATTTCTTGCAACTCTTTGAACGACCTCAGTTGAAAGAAACAGTTTAATTCTTAGAAGGACAAACCAAAACCAACATGAACTGCTGCTACCTTAAAGGGACAGATCAGTCAACTTTGAAGTGATGTTCTATCAAAGTACTTAGTAACTTATCAGTCATAACATGTTACTAACTTATCAGTCATAACATGTCACTAACTTATCAGTCATAACATGTTACTAACTTATCAGTCATAACATGTAGGTAACTTATCAGTCATAACATGTTAACTTATCAGTCATAACATGTTAGTAACTTATCAGTCTTAACATGTTAGTAACTTATCAGTCATAACATGTAGGTAACTTATCAGTCATAACATGTTAACTTATCAGTCATAACATGTAGGTAACTTATCAGTCATAACATGTTAGTAACTTATCAGTCATAACATGTTA